ATTGAGTAAGAATAATAAAAGGGTAAGTGTACATATATCAGAGTGAGTATAATTGAGTAAAAATATTAAAAGCGTAAGTATACATATATCAGAGTAAGTATAATTGAGTAAGAATATCAAAAGGGTAAGTGTACATATATCAGAGTAAGTATAATTGAGTAAGAATAATAAAAGGGTAAGTGTACATATATCAGAGTAAGTATAATTGAGTAAGAATAAAAGGTAAGTGTACATATATCAGAGTAAGTATAATTGAGTAAAAATATTAAAAGCGTAAGTATACATATATCAGAGTAAGTATAATTGAGTAAGAATATCAAAAGGGTAAGTGTACATATATCAGAGTAAGTATAATTGAGTAAGAATAATAAAAGGGTAAGTGTACATATATCAGAGTAAGTATAATTGAGTAAGAATAATAAAAGGGTAAGTGTACATATATCAGAGTGAGTATAATTGAGTAAAAATATTAAAAGCGTAAGTATACATATATCAGAGTAAGTATAATTGAGTAAGAATATCAAAAGGGTAAGTGTACATATATCAGAGTAAGTATAATTGAGTAAGAATAATAAAAGGGTAAGTGTACATATATCAGAGTAAGTATAATTGAGTAAGAATAATAAAAGGGTAAGTGTACATATATCAGAGTGAGTATAATTGAGTAAAGAATATTAAAAGCGTAAGCGTACATATATCAGAGTAAGTATAATTGAGTAAGAATAACAAAAGGGTAAGTGTACATATATCAGAGTAAGTATAATTGGGTAAGAATAAAAGGTAAGTGTACATACATCAGAGTAAGTATAATTGAGTAAGAATAACAAAAGGGTAAGTGTACATATATCAGAGTCAGTATAATTGAGTAAAAATAACAAAAGGGTAAGTGTACATATATCAGAGTAAGTATAATTGAGTAAGAATAACAAAAGGGTAAGTGTACATATATCAGAGTAAGTATAATTGAGTAAGAATAACAAAAGGGTAAGTGTACATATATCAGAGTAAGTATAATTGAGTAAGAATATCAAAAGGTTAAGTGTACATATATCAGAGTAAGTATAATTGAGTAAGAATAACAAAAGGGTAAGTGTACATATATCAGAGTAAGTATAATTGAGTAAGAATAAAAGGTAAGTGTACATATATCAGAGTGAGAATAATTGAGTAAAAATATTAAAAGCGTAAGTATACATATATCAGAGTAGGTATAATTGAGTAAGAATATCAAAAGGGTAAGTGTACATATATCAGAGTAAGTATAATTGAGTAAGAATATCAAAAGGGTAAGTGTACATATATCAGAGTCAGTATAATTGAGTAAAAATAACAAAAGGGTAAGTGTACATATATCAGAGTCAGTATAATTGAGTAAGAATAACAAAAGGGTAAGTGTACATATATCAGAGTAAGTATAATTGAGTAAGAATAACAAAAGGGTAAGTGTACATATATCAGAGTAAGTATAATTGAGTAAGAATAACAAAAGGGTAAGTGTACATATATCAGAGTAAGTATAATTGAGTAAGAATATCAAAAGGGTAAGTGTACATATATCAGAGTAAGTATAATTGAGTAAGAATAACAAAAGGGTAAGTGTACATATATCAGAGTAAGTATAATTGAGTAAGAATAAAAGGTAAGTGTACATATATCAGAGTGAGTATAATTGAGTAAAAATATTAAAAGCGTAAGTATACATATATCAGAGTAGGTATAATTGAGTAAGAATATCAAAAGGGTAAGTGTACATATATCAGAGTAAGTATAATTGAGTAAGAATATCAAAAGGGTAAGTGTACATATATCAGAGTAAGTATAATTGAGTAAGAATATCAAAAGGGTAAGTGTACATATATCAGAGTAAGTATAATTGAGTAAGAATAATAAAAGGGTAAGTGTACATATATCAGAGTAAGTATAATTGAGTAAGAATAATAAAAGGGTAAGTGTACATATATCAGAGTGAGTATAATTGAGTAAAAATATTAAAAGCGTAAGTATACATATATCAGAGTAAGTATAATTGAGTAAGAATAATAAAAGGGTAAGTGTACATATATCAGAGTAAGTATAATTGAGTAAGAATAAAAGGTAAGTGTACATATATCAGAGTAAGTATAATTGAGTAAAAATATTAAAAGCGTAAGTATACATATATCAGAGTAAGTATAATTGAGTAAGAATATCAAAAGGGTAAGTGTACATATATCAGAGTAAGTATAATTGAGTAAGAATAACAAAAGGTTAAGTGTACGTATATCAGAGTAAGTATAATTGGGTAAGAATAACAAAAGGGTAAGTGTACATATATCAGAGTCAGTATAATTGAGTAAAAATAACAAAAGGGTAAGTGTACATATATCAGAGTAAGTATAATTGAGTAAGAATAACAAAAGGGTAAGTGTACATATATCAGAGTAAGTATAATTGAGTTAGAATAACAAAAGGGTAAGTGTACATATATCAGAGTAAGTATAATTGAGTAAGAATATCAAAAGGTTAAGTGTACATATATCAGAGTAAGTATAATTGAGTAAGAATAACAAAAGGGTAAGTGTACATATATCAGAGTAAGTATAATTGAGTAAGAATAAAAGGTAAGTGTACATATATCAGAGTGAGTATAATTGAGTAAAAATATTAAAAGCGTAAGTGTACATATATCAGAGTAAGTATAATTGAGTAAGAATATCAAAAGGTTAAGTGTACATATATCAGAGTAAGTATAATTGAGTAAGAATATCAAAAGGGTAAGTGTACATATATCAGAGTAAGTATAATTGAGTAAGAATAACAAAAGGGTAAGTGTACATATATCAGAGTAAGTATAATTGAGTAAGAATAAAAGGTAAGTGTACATATATCAGAGTGAGTATAATTGAGTAAAAATATTAAAAGCGTAAGTATACATATATCAGAGTGGGTATAATTGAGTAAGAATATCAAAAGGGTAAGTGTACATATATCAGAGTAAGTATAACTGAGTAAGAATATCAAAAGGGTAAGCGTACATATATCAGAGTAAGTATAATTGAGTAAGAATAACAAAAGGGTAAGTGTACATATATCAGAGTAAGTATAATTGAGTAAGAATAACAAAAGGGTAAGTGTACATATATCAGAGTAAGTATAATTGAGTAAGAATAACAAAAGGGTAAGTGTACATATATCAGAGTAAGTATAATTGAGTAAGAATAAAAGGTAAGTGTACATATATCAGAGTGAGTATAATTGAGTAAAAATATTAAAAGCGTAAGTATACATATATCAGAGTAGGTATAATTGAGTAAGAATATCAAAAGGGTAAGTGTACATATATCAGAGTAAGTATAATTGAGTAAGAATAACAAAAGGGTAAGTGTACATATATCAGAGTCAGTATAATTGAGTAAAAATAACAAAAGGGTAAGTGTACATATATCAGAGTAAGTATAATTGAGTAAGAATAACAAAAGGGTAAGTGTACATATATCAGAGTAAGTATAATTGAGTAAGAATAACAAAAGGGTAAGTGTACATATATCAGAGTAAGTATAATTGAGTAAGAATATCAAAAGGTTAAGTGTACATATATCAGAGTAAGTATAATTGAGTAAGAATAACAAAAGGGTAAGTGTACATATATCAGAGTAAGTATAATTGAGTAAGAATAAAAGGTAAGTGTACATATATCAGAGTGAGAATAATTGAGTAAAAATATTAAAAGCGTAAGTATACATATATCAGAGTAGGTATAATTGAGTAAGAATATCAAAAGGGTAAGTGTACATATATCAGAGTAAGTATAATTGAGTAAGAATATCAAAAGGGTAAGTGTACATATATCAGAGTCAGTATAATTGAGTAAAAATAACAAAAGGGTAAGTGTACATATATCAGAGTAAGTATAATTGAGTAAGAATAACAAAAGGGTAAGTGTACATATATCAGAGTAAGTATAATTGAGTAAGAATAAAAGGTAAGTGTACATATATCAGAGTAAGTATAATTGAGTAAAAATATTAAAAGCGTAAGTATACATATATCAGAGTAAGTATAATTGAGTAAGAATATCAAAAGGGTAAGTGTACATATATCAGAGTAAGTATAATTGAGTAAGAATAATAAAAGGGTAAGTGTACATATATCAGAGTAAGTATAATTGAGTAAGAATAATAAAAGGGTAAGTGTACATATATCAGAGTGAGTATAATTGAGTAAAAATATTAAAAGCGTAAGTATACATATATCAGAGTAAGTATAATTGAGTAAGAATAATAAAAGGGTAAGTGTACATATATCAGAGTAAGTATAATTGAGTAAGAATAAAAGGTAAGTGTACATATATCAGAGTAAGTATAATTGAGTAAAAATATTAAAAGCGTAAGTATACATATATCAGAGTAAGTATAATTGAGTAAGAATATCAAAAGGGTAAGTGTACATATATCAGAGTAAGTATAATTGAGTAAGAATAACAAAAGGTTAAGTGTACGTATATCAGAGTAAGTATAATTGGGTAAGAATAACAAAAGGGTAAGTGTACATATATCAGAGTCAGTATAATTAAGTAAAAATAACAAAAGGGTAAGTGTACATATATCAGAGTAAGTATAATTGAGTAAGAATAACAAAAGGGTAAGTGTACATATATCAGAGTAAGTATAATTGAGTAAGAATAACAAAAGGGTAAGTGTACATATATCAGAGTAAGTATAATTGAGTAAGAATATCAAAAGGGTAAGTGTACATATATCAGAGTAAGTATAATTGAGTAAGAATAACAAAAGGGTAAGTGTACATATATCAGAGTAAGTATAATTGAGTAAGAATAACAAAAGGGTAAGTGTACATATATCAGAGTAAGTATAATTGAGTAAGAATATCAAAAGGGTAAGTGTACATATATCAGAGTAAGTATAATTGAGTAAGAATAACAAAAGGGTAAGTGTACATATATCAGAGTAAGTATAATTGAGTAAGAATAAAAGGTAAGTGTACATATATCAGAGTGAGTATAATTGAGTAAAAATATTAAAAGCGTAAGTATACATATATCAGAGTAGGTATAATTGAGTAAGAATATCAAAAGGGTAAGTGTACATATATCAGAGTAAGTATAATTGAGTAAGAATATCAAAAGGGTAAGTGTACATATATCAGAGTAAGTATAATTGAGTAAGAATAATAAAAGGGTAAGTGTACATATATCAGAGTAAGTATAATTGAGTAAGAATAATAAAAGGGTAAGTGTACATATATCAGAGTGAGTATAATTGAGTAAGAATAATAAAAGGGTAAGTGTACATATATCAGAGTAAGTATAATTGAGTAAGAATAATAAAAGGGTAGGTGTACATATATCAGAGTAAGTATAATTGAGTAAGAATAAAAGGTAAGTGTACATATATCAGAGTAAGTATAATTGAGTAAAAATATTAAAAGCGTAAGTATACATATATCAGAGTAAGTATAATTGAGTAAGAATATCAAAAGGGTAAGTGTACATATATCAGAGTAAGTATAATTGAGTAAGAATAACAAAAGGTTAAGTGTACGTATATCAGAGTAAGTATAATTGGGTAAGAATAACAAAAGGGTAAGTGTACATATATCAGAGTAAGTATAATTGAGTAAGAATAACAAAAGGGTAAGTGTACATATATCAGAGTGAGTATAATTGAGTAAGAATAACAAAAGGTTAAGTGTACGTATATCAGAGTAAGTATAATTGGGTAAGAATAACAAAAGGGTAAGTGTACATATATCAGAGTAAGTATAATTGGGTAAGAATAAAAGGTAAGTGTACATATATCAGAGTAAGTATAATTGGGTAAGAATAAAAGGTAAGTGTACATATATCAGAGTAAGTATAATTAAATAAATATACCAGAGTAAGTATATCTGAGTAAATATATCAGAGTAACTATAATTGAATAAATAAATCAAAGAATAGTTGAGCAAGTATTTCAAGAGTAAGTATGTTTGAGTATAACTGAACAAATATTTCAGAGTAGGTATAATTGAGAAAATATATCAAAGTATAGTTGAGTAAATATATCGCAGCAAGTAGAATTGATTAAATATATCGACATATAATTAAGTAAGTATATCAAAGTATAACTGAACAAATATACCAGAGGAAGTGTATCAGAGTAAGTATAATTGAGTCAATATATAAAAGTATAATTAAGTATGTCAGACTAAGTATATTGAGTAAGTATATCAAAGTAAGCACAATTGAGTAAGGAAATTAGAGTAAGCATAATTGAGTAAGTATTTCAGAGTAAGTGAAAGTAAGTATATTGCAGTAAGTACAATTGAAAAAGTATATCCGAGTCATACCTGTCAACCCTCCCGTTTTTCCCGGTATTCTCCCGTATTTTACAGTTCTATCCTGCTCTCATAGCATAAAGGGATTTTCCCGTTTTTCTCCAGTATTTTCAGTGTTTCTCTGAAGGGTGGCAAGAAACATTAAAGAGTCAAGCCTCCCCATACGCAACCCATACCCCTGAACCACCAGGGGCCGGCCCTTGCTCTAAAATGTGAGTCTGTTCTGCGCATTTGCTTTGTTTAGGCATGAAAACACTTTGAAATAAATATAAAAATGGCGCGATTCCCCTTCCTTTTTATTACAGATGCCGTCAACCCTCCTTAAAACAGTCATATAATGGTGCGTGACAGTCAGCTGACGAGCTCCATAGTAATAAATTAGACGCTGTTTCCAAAACAGATTTTATGCAGGCGAAAGCAAAAGTCTGGCTTTTGGGTGCGTGTTTGAACAGAAATATACACATAATTAATAATAATAACATCTAAAGATGTCGATTTTGGCGTTTTTTTAATCCGAACACAAGTAATTTCGTCTTAAATGAGCATAAAAAGTTAGGAAAGCAGTCCAATGCTTTCATTATAATGTTAGATGTGTGCATTTTTAAAGTGACACCTCTTATTTAATGTAATCAAACGAAAAAAATCTAAATAAATACAATATTCATTTGTTGCCTATAATCAGAATGTGTAAGTTAATTATACAGCGAAGAAACGGCTAATGAGATTTAATAACTTGATTTTATTTCATTATAACAGCTATTCATTTTGATAAGCTGAACTGTTTGCTAATGTATTTGCTGCCAATATATATATTTATTTTTCCTTTTGTATATGACAGGGGTCACCAATCTCGGTCCTGGAGGGCCGGTGTCCCTGCAGGGTTTAGTTCCAACTTGCCTCAACCCACCTGCCTGGATGTTTCAAGTATACCTACAGTAGTAAGACCTTGATTAGCTTGTTCAGGTGTGTTTGATTAGGGTTGGAGCTAAAATGTGCAGGACACCGGCCCTACAGGAACAAGTTTGGTGACCACTGGTATATGATAATAATAAAACATATCACTGACCATTTAACTGTTTATTTACAACGAAACAGCTCCAAAAGAACATAGTAATTTGGGGATTTAAAAAAAAAAGGGGGGGGGGGGGGGTCACTTATTATGGTGGGCAGATCCCTTATTTTCACATCCCAATGTTGACAGGTATGATCAGAGTATAATTGAGTATGTCAAAAGGGTAAGTGTAAGTATATCAGAGTACGTATAATTGAGCAAGTATAGCTGAGTATCTCAGAATGCTCTGGGTTTTGGGCATGTTCGTTTTGGTGCTTTCAAATTGTTCAACAAAATTAACTTGTGCACATGTAAGATTCTATACTTACCATACGGCGATGTATGTGCCAGTTCTGCAGAAGACAGGAGCGGCTGCAAGACAGCAGAAGATCATCTGTCTGTGCACTTGCACGCTTCGGCACACACTCTTGTGTCTGTGCTTTCTCTTCGGTCTGTTCTCGCTTTGCAAACTGACAGAAATGAAGAGGGCATGCATACTTATTGAGGGATAACCGACAATGAGCTGTTAAAGTATTAAAAAAATAATGCTCATTTGAGATTTAACAGCCACTGCGCATTCACATCTTGACCACATCACCTCAGGAGTTCAGTTTTTTTAAATTATTCAACAGCTCTTTGTCAATTATTCTTTTATGTGACATTTTTTCCACACATCATTAAATTGAGTTACAACAGTTCCCACAGCTAATGACACAGTTCAGATGATGTATTTCAGACATTTGTCAGGTTTTTGACCTCAAACTGCTCGTGTGTGGCATTAGTTCCTCACAAATCTCATCCAAAGCCTTCTGTTGTGTGTTTTATTGTGATTTTTGTCTGTTATATCTGTAAAACTACTCAAACCATTTAACGTAATGAAGCTGTAATGCACTCAAAACATGCCGGAACTACTTTAGCTGTGCAGTTATATGAAAATAACTGCACCCCTTAGAATGTGCATCAGCCAATCAGAATCAAGCATTTAAAAGACCCGTAGATTAAGTAATTACAGATTACTTGATTAATTACTTCTAACTGATGATAGATTAATTGATGACGAGCTGTTGATTTTTACACTTTGGCTGTGCGCTTATATTACATTAATTGCACACATTACAATGTTTATCGATGTTTTAACTATTCTTATCTCTATTACATAATGTCAATTTTATTTATACAGCACTATTATACACAACCAAAGGTTGACCAATGTGCTGCACAATACAAATCACAAAGAACAAGTATAGAATTATAGCTAAAACAAACAAATTTCACTATTAGTTATTATAGCTAAAAACAAACATTTCTCACTGATAAAATACCAAATCAAAAAGGTAAGTTTTCAACCTAGATTAAAAAACAAACAGAGACGATATAGACCTGATACAGAGGGGCAGAGCATTCCACAAGGTAGGACCAGCTACTGCGAAAGCCCGGTCACCCATGCATTTCAGCCTCGACTTTGGGATGTCTAATAGTCTCTAGTTAGATGACCGAAGAGACCGACCAGGCTGATGTTCAGTCAACAGGTCTGAAAGGTAGGAAGGCCATTTAGAGATTTAAAAACCAGGAGAAGAATTTTAAAAGTGACACAATAGTGCACAGGCAACCAGTGCAAAGAGCGCAAAACTTGTGTGATGTGGTCATGTCTTTTGGTAAAGGTTAAAAGCCTTGCAGCAACATTTTTAACAAACTGTAGGCGGTATAGAGATGTCTGACTGATCCCAAAATATAGTGAATTACAGTAGTCCAATCTAGAATAAAAGCATCATTTGTTTTTTCTAGATAAAATAGGTTTGACTGTTTTTAAAAGTCGAAGCTGAATAAAGCAGGATTTGACCACTGCGTCGATCTGTTTATCAAATCTCAAGCCATCATCAAAGATAACACCCAGATTTTTTACACAAGGCTTCACAGAAAAATTCACCAAGATGGTGGTGTTCTGGAGGAATTTGACGGGTCGAACACAATGATTTCAGTTTTACTCTATTAAAATCTAGAAAGTTCAAAGACAACCAGGATTTCATATCCGACAGGCAAGACATAAGAGTCTTCAATCCACTTGAACTCGGTTTTAAGGGCAGGTAAATCATCTGCATAACAGTGGAAAGACAGACCATGTTTTCTAAAAATAGAACCCAGGGGAAACATATATAAGGAAAAAAGAATAGGGGCTAAAATACATCCCTGTGGAACACCACATGACAAAAATGTTGGTGTTTTTAGTTTATTTTGTACATATACTTATTTATTTTTTTATTTCTATTATTTTTTTTTTTTAGAAAATCTACATAGCTATGTCTATTTTAGTGCTTCTTAACTCTGTTTGATTAATTGTATAATTTTTGTATTGTTTTTTAGGTTGACATCTGTCCAGGGACAATGGATGAAAGATAGCCTTCTGGCTAATTCTGGTGCATTTGCAGCAATGCTAATTACTGTGCACTGTTCCTTCCAAATACACAAATAAATAAATAAATAAATAAATAAATCAGCCAATCAGGGTCAGGCATTCAACAGGCCATAAGATAACTAAAGTTAATGCAGGGTCACTCATTAAACGATTTGAAACATTTAACTTATGTTGTTAACTTACTACTAGTATCCTTTGAGCCAAAGTCAAAAAATTGTTCAGAAAATAATCCACTTACATGGCAACATAAGCTCATTGTGATTACGTACCCCCCTATAAATTTCTGGAGAGGGCAAATTATGTATCCAGAGGAATGCATATGTGCATTTTGTCTTTGAAATTGGTTGATCGAATGCTCAGTCAGTCAACAGCAGCTTCTGGTGGATTTACATGAGAAGAGCAGGAGCAAATGACACTTGCAAGATAAAATTGAGATCTGAAGAAGTGTACACAGCGGCCTTTGTGAAAACAAAATTTGTGGATTTGTGAAAAAAAACGTCACTCCTGGGACGTATTTCGCTCTCTGCAGAAATGTTTATAGGGGTAGGCATTAATAATGAGCCTGGGTTGCATATAGGCCAAGTGACTAAACACAGTTCTAAATATGTTTACAGTTAAACAGTTTTCATTAAATAAAAAAAAAAAGAACAAAAACTGGTGAGTTTTTCTGTAGTCAGTTTGCTTTACTATATTCAGTACATTTATTACATTATTATTACTATTTTGTATATTTAGTTATGTTAGTAAATTTAGTATATTTAGTAAAATACTAACATTTAGTACAGGGCTGGCCAACCCTGATTTAGTATTTTTAATTTGAGAACACAGTACAAAATAGTATTATTATTGGTAATATTATTGGTAATAAATCAGTTGTTATTATTGGTAAACAACAAAATCGACAGTAACATACAGTGCACATTATATAAATAATGTAAAAAGTTATTTACTTGAGTCTTGAGTGACATCACCCAGTTCTCTGTAGGATTGAGACAAGTCTGTCCGTTCTTCAGTGTGGCACTGCAGAAACAAATGTACAATTGTAAATTATCTGGTTATAACTGCAGATCAATGACGTGTGAAATAGCCTAATGTAATGTCTGCAATTATATAAAATAAATAAATAAATGCAACATATATGAACACATACAGACCCTTATGCTGTGTTCACACCAGGCACGGAACGCGCAGATAAATCGTGCTATTCACACGTAAATAGTCACGTGAACATTTAAGTTTACTAGTGTTAAACCCCGCTTTATTCGCGTGCCAAATTCACTTCAGAACAGACGGGGATTCATGTGATGGGCAGGGCTTCTGTCTGCTCGGTGACTCTAGCTTCATTGCTAAATGGCTAATATATATTACTAAATGGCATTATATTGATAGAATAGCTGTGCTTATGTGCTTTATGAAGGCTGAAAAACAGCATTGATTCATTTGGAGCCGTGTCTGAGTCCACTTGATCCTTGTGCTCCCTGGTGCGTCCAGCTCTGTGAGCTCATAAACTCCTCCAGAAACTGAACCTGGATGATGGAGGCTTTCAGCGGTGCTTCTGACTGAGCCGAGCCCAGTTTGATGAACTGTTGTTGGTTTCGGATGAAGGATTTTCCCAGGGACTCCAACAACAGGCGCTACGTCACAGTCACGCCCCCACAAGAGCAAGCTCCTGATTGGTTAATGCCGTGCTAATGTCCACTTAAGTTCAGATTTTTGAACGAACAATTTGCGCAAAATGGGCGTTAAGTGCATCAAATGCACAAAATGCTCAATTCGCGCGTATCGCGCCATTTGCGGCATTCACTCCTATTGCGCCGCAGGATGTCTATTCGGGTGTATGCATTGACTTAACATGTAAAGCACTCACACTTTATGCTGCTTCTGCGTCTGGTGTGATTACAACATTACAGTCTACGATTTGTTACCAACTACAGAAAAACTACATACAGCAGACATTTAGTCCTTATTTAGGTTCAAAAACAACACAAAACATAGAGCCCACAGTCAGAGCAAACCCCTCATCTGTATCTGTAATCTTCACCAGCACATGTAGCCTCTGTTAGAGAGTCATTCAGTCATTCCGAGTTTAAAGTTGTCCAAAAGGCAATGATAGTTAAACATGGCAGTTTGCACATGTTTGCTGAAAGAATCATTTGCTTCTTTGCTTTTTCCGGTTTCTCCTTTGTTTTTTCGTGCTTCACTCTCGCAGTTGTCCATTTCTGACAGCATCGAATGTCAGAAGCATGTCAATAATCAAGCCCACTGTAGAAAATATTCCCCCCCGCGACTTGGACTCTTCCAGTCACCCCGCCGATCAGCGTGAAATGAGCTGATCCAAATTTTCTTGCGGAGTTTCGGAAAGTGGCAGAGGGGAGAAAGAGTTGATGATGATAGGGGTTAGTAAGATAATTAAAGCTGTGCATTGTAAATAGTTAGAGAAAAAGGAGTATTTTAATCCGAGAAGTTCATTGATGGTGTGTGTGCGTACATTTAAAAAGTAAGTAAAACAGAATGTTCAATGCTTAGTTTAGTGAAAGTTTATACCTATTTGTTTGTTTATAAACTGTACCGAACCACTGTAAAGATTGCCGATTTAGTAATTTACGGCTGATTTAGAAATCGTAACCCATGCTTTAATCTCCTCTCGGTCAGACTACTGCAACTCTTTGTACATTGGCCTACCTCAGTCAACCCCCTCTCGGCTACAGTTGGTCCAAAATGCAGCCGCCAGATTAATAACAGGAACTAAGAAAAGAGATCATATCTGCCCTGTCCTCGCCTCATTGCACTGGCAACCTATAAAATACAGGGTTGATTTTAAAATTCTTCTTTTCACTTATAAAGCTTTGCACAATTCTGCCCCGGCCTATGTCAGCGAGCTTATTAGGCCATATACAGCTTGTAGATTCTTAAGATCACATGATCAGTTTCTTTTGTCTGTCCCTCGGTCTCGCTGCAAGTCAAAGGGTGATCGAGCTTTCAGTGTTGCGGCCCCAAGGCTCTGGAACAGTGTCCCACTGAACATCAGAATCTCTCCTTCTTTGGATGCTTTTAAATCTAATTTAAAGACATATTTTTACTCTCTTGCCTTTGACTGATGCATGCATGTTATTTTTTATTATTTATATTTTAGTATTACTTTTAAATATATTTCATTGTATTTTAATACCAGTTATTTTTAGTTTTATTGTCTAGTTTTTTTTTTATTGTAAAGCACTTACGGTTGTGTTAAATTGTGCTCTATAAATAAAGTTTGCCTTGCCTTGCCTAGATGTACACACATATGTTTATGTTTACAATTATCATTTCTTATATCTATATTATTCCTGCCGATACATTTTAGCTGTTATCATACACACACACACACACACACACACACACAAACAAGCAAGTTGATGCCAATCAATAAATGAAGATTTAGAGCATTCTCTGGAGTGAGACTGTTGTCTTGACCCGCAACCCGTAGCCTTCAGCAAACCAAACTAACTAGTGCAAAGAAAGAGATTTTACACCCACGTTATAATCATCAGCTCTAGATGTTTTTTTATTTCAAATATAGACATGCACGCGGGCGCAAGCGAGAAAGCGAAACTGCTCACGCTTTAGACGGGCTCATAAAAAACTGCGGGGCACAGGGTAGAATCTGCTCTTCTTTTTGGTTTTGTGGCTGTTCATCAAGATGATGACGAGGTTTGTTTGAGCTTGGGTCAACCATGGCTCGTTATTATATGTATATATTATTACAGTGTAATGCCTCGGCTGTGTATTTTAAACATGGCGGTTCCTTTGCTTTCATTCTGGCTTGTTGCTGGAGCGAATGACGTATCTCTGTAAACCAATAGCATTCAGCTGGGAGTCTAACTCCGCCTTTTGGTACCCTTTTGCTGTGCTAGGTTCCCTTTGCAAAGGATACCCAAAAAGTGGTACAGTACAGTCCGCTTTTAGGTATCCTTTGACAGTAGAAACGGCCATAAAAGAGTACCGAACCAAACTAATTCGTAGAGAGTAATTCTGTCATTCCAAGTTTGTTGTCCAAAAAGTGATGATAATAGATAAACATGGCAGTTTGTACATGTTTGCTGAAAGAATCAATTGCTCCAATGGCTTCTCTTTTGTTTTTCTGTGCGTCACTCTTGCGTTTGCCTATTTCAGACAGGATCAGATGTCAAAAGCACGTCAATAAGAAACGGCCATAAAACCGTACCGTATCGTGCCACTCAGTGGAAACGGGCCAAAAGAGTATTTTAAAGTATTTATATACATACAGTACATATACACTATACAATTCTGATGCATAGAATAAAAAACGTTTGCTGACTCTGGGATTCATTCATGACTGTATAACCATTGATTTGATGTTTACTTGTAACTTGTTCTCTTATCTTGGTCATGTTATATTTGTTGTTTGTCAGTGAACGGTACTATATAAAAAGTTTAAAGCATACCAGGATACAACTTGGAACTGGTTGACTATTTAGTCTAAGTAGACTAAGAAAATGTGTAAAATTTGAATACGCAATAAGCTTACTCACATGATCTCCTCATTTCTGCAGTGTGGTCCAGCAGAATTCACCTTCAGTGCGAGTACTTGTCGCCTAGGAATCGGTGGTTGTGAATAAATTTTAACACACTGACAGCGCAGCGGTGGAGGTGGAGGTTGACCTGCAGTGACAGAGAGAGATTTAAAGCAAGATAAACCTGAAAGGTTAATCAGAAATGTCAGAAAGTCAATGTTAGTATCTGCTTACCCTCATTGGTGCACTGCAGTGCAGTTGTGCAGATCAGAAGCATGAAGGCTGAAATGCTCAACTTCATCATCCTGAAGAGTTCTGGTGCAGATTGAAGCTGTTGTGTGGAGTGTGTGTGGAGTGTGTCTAACAGTAGACGACTTTCCCTCTTAAACACTGACACTCCCACACGTGACAGAGTTTATTGCGCAATCAAGATTTCTGACTAAACTTCTCTTCCAAGGAACCCTCAGTCTCTCCCAATGTCTGTTATGTTATTGTGATTTCTCATGATACTAAAAGAATTTAACCCTTTCACCAGTACCAGCCATCGGATGAAGAGAGCGCTCTGATTATTTATTCAGCAGCAAATCAGAGCGTGACTGTGATGTAGTGAAGTGATGTAGCACGTAAACAATTCAAATGAAAAAGTATTACATCTAGGCCGGCTCAAATATTAGTATATTTCTCAAATATTTGATATTCAGCCAATT